AACAGTCCCTAACACCGCGCCCTTCAGTCCTTCGTCCACACTGTCTAGCACGAGATCGACTAAGGCTTTGGGTACCAGCAGGAGAGAGTACCAGGCAACTAGCGTCGACGCTAGAGAAGTCGCAGAACCACGAGGTATCGGATGAGCAATTGGATCGAATCCTAGATGTAATAGGGTCAGCGTGGGCGCAATCCACAAAGGAAACGTACGGGGCGGGCCTCTTAGTTTTCCACGTATACTGCGATGTCAACCACGTTGAAGAGGACAAGCGTTGCCCCGTTAATCCCAACCTTCTCCTAGAGTTCCTGTCCAGCTGTGCTGGTTCCTATTCAGGGTCAGCAATAGCAAACTTCGTAGCCGGCATTAAAGCCTGGCACTTACTCCATGGTAGAGCCTGGATGATCCAACCGGGAGAGCTTAAAACATTACTCGAAGGGGCATCAGTCCTTGCTCCTCCATCTTCGAAGCGTCCAAAGAGACAGCCGTTCACTCCCGACTTCATCACATGCATCCGCAACCAGATGGACTTAAACAAACCGCTTGACGCAGCTTTCTACGCCTGCATGACGACAATGTTCTACTCTATAGCACGTTTAGGTGAATTCATGGTCAAAACAATCAAATGTTTTGACCCACGCAAACACGTCACGAGAAACGGAATGTCCGAAGCCACTGACCGCAATAATCTACCAGTAACCAAGTTCGCACTACCCAGCACGAAATCATCTCCGCTTTCGGGCGAAGAGACCTATTGGGCTGCTCAGAACGGCCCCACAGACCCAAAGGAAGCCATGCAGAATCACTTACGAGTGAACCCAGGAGGAGGCGAAGAACACCTCTTTGCGTGGAAACACGACAAAGGCATAAGACCGCTATCGAAGTCGGAATTCGTCAAACGACTAGCGCTAGCAGCAAGCGCAGCAGGCTTACCAGACCTCAAGGGTCATGGGCTGCGTATCGGGGGAACGTTGGAGTACCTGTTGAGAGGAGTACCTTTTGATGTAGTCAAAACAATGGGGAGGTGGTCGAGCGAAGCATTCACCATTTATTTGCGAGACCACGCGAAAATACTAGCTCCATACATCCAATCATCGCCCACTCTAGAACCGTTCACGAGGTACACACTACCACCGGTGCGCTAGAGCGAAGCAATTAGTGAGTCCACTCCTTCTTTTCATAGGGCACCAAGCTTCGCCATACGCGTCATAGCCCTCCTAAACCATCGGGAACACAGCTCACCTTGCTATACCAGGTTCGGTTTCGAGTTTCAGACCGGAAAGGCCCTGCGGGCCTTCGCCCAGTAACCCAACAACCTGTCACATTTTGTACTTGCATAGATTCGTATTCCACACCGTGTCGACAATTCCATCTGCACCCTTCAGACGTTAGCATTTCCCATCATTCGAATTTCAACATTCGTTTCCTCGTAAAGTCCAAGACGTTTCGCAGTGCAGCGCATAGATGGCGTTCTAAGTTAGCCGAGGCACGAGGCTAACGTAGAAGTAAGTCTACGCGCAAATAAGCGAAGTGGCGCAGAACCTCTTGCTTCTGCCCACTTCGCACTCATCCATCAGCTTCAGTATAAGCATCTAGTTCTACATTTTTGCTCCCACCCGCCACACCCCAATCAGAGTCAGACAAATAGTATTCACGGAAACAAACAACCAACTATCTAAAACTGATTTATACAGACTATTCTCCTTAACCATTTGTCTGACGTTTGGTAACCGCTCCCTAGGTATCGCTGTCACCGGTGAACTGATCGGGCCCAACCCGCCCACACAGCTCACCTTGCTATACCAGGTTCGGTTTCGAGTTTCAGACCGGAAAGGCCCTGCGGGCCTTCGCCCAGTAACCCAACAACCTGTCACATTTTGTACTTGCATAGATTCATATTCCACACCGTGTCGACGATTCCATCTGCACCCTTCAGACGTTAGCATTTCCCATCATTTGAATTTCAACATTCGTTTCCTCGTAAAGTCCAAGACGTTTCGCAGTGCAGCGCATAGAACTAAAACAGCGCATTACGAACTAAAATCGTGCACTAACTAAAACTAGCTCGAGGTAGGAGCCTCAAAGGATCGTTTTCGGCTTTTGGATTTTCAGATAGGCTGGGGTCTTTTTGTTGTGAATGACGTGAGGGTATTCGGACTTTGTCTGTGCAGGGTTTGGACTCGAAAGAAACGAGTAAGGTCCGACTGATAACAGGGTACCATGAACTCCATCAATCACCTTGAACTTTGCATCGTTCCCTCATTTTCTAGGGTGGAGAGCGGGACTTGTATTCATCATCTGACTCGGACTCATCGCACACTACACGATCTTTTGCTCTTCCTCCGAGAGCCAGCATGCTGATATTCACCAATATCACTTGGTTGGACCTATGTCTTGCTGGTGCCGGAGTGTATCTGGTCATGCAGGCATTCAGAAAGAACCCTGCACCATATCCCCCTGGACCTCCGGGGTGGCCTCTCATTGGGAACGTCGCAGACATGCCCCACAACAAGGCTTGGCTCACCTTTGCCAAGTGGCGCAAAAAATATGGTGTGCCTCATGTTTCCCAACACGATACATTTCAATTACAGTGGTTTGCAGGTGACATCTCGCATGTCGAAGTTCTGGGTCGGCACATCATTGTGCTGAATTCTGTCGAGGCAGCGATGGCATTGCTAGACAAAAAAAGCTCTGTGTACTCTGACCGTCCGGTTCTTACAATGGGTGGTGAACTTGTTGGCTGGAAGTACTGTATGGGTCTTCTCTCTTATGGTGACCATTTTCGCTATTACCGCAAGAACATCCACCGCATAATTGGCAGTCGCGCTGCTATGGCTGTCTACGAACCGATTGAGGAGATTGAGACCCGCCGGTTCCTGAAGCGTGTGTTTGCAAAACCCGAGCAACTGCAAGCACATATTCGACAGTATGTAGTGTTTATCATTGCATGAATTGGGCCTTGATTTTGTATAGCACTGCTGGCGCTATCATTCTGCGAATCTCTCATGGATATGAGGTGAAGGAGAACAATGATCGCTTCGTTGACCTTGCAGACCGCGCTGTGGACCAATTATCGCGGTCCACCGATACTGGTGCCTTCATGGTTGACATCATGCCATGGCGTAAGACTACGGAATTCTGACATTTGCAATGACCTGACTATGTCTAGTGGCCAAGGTTCCCGAGTGGTTTCCCGGTGCTGGATTCAAATGCTTGGCCCGTGAATGGCGCCAGACCCTCGAAGAGTTGGTTGAAGCACCACACAAATTCGTCAAGGATCAGATGGTAACCAACATATACAGTTCGGCGATTGCGAGTTGAACACATCACAGGCTGCCGGAGTTGCCCCAGTGTCTTTCACCTCGAATCTGTTGCAAGGCCGTACTTTGTCTGCGGAAGAGGATCACATGGTGAAATGGTCTGCTGTATCCCTATACTCCGGTGGCGCCGACACGGTTAGCTCTTCTTTTCATATTACAGATTAGTTGTTATATCTTGAAACTAACACCTGTCTCCACAGACAGTCTCTACAATCTATTTGATTTTCCTGGCGATGACACTGTTCCCTGATGTGCAGAAGAAGGCTCATGCTGAAATAGATGCTGTTGTTGGCACTGATCGTCTTCCCTCTTTTGCAGACCGCGACTCCCTCCCCTATATAGAGGCCCTTGTGAAAGAATCCCTGCGCTGGAATGTTGTCGTCCCTATAGGTATGTGTTTATTGTATTCTTTTCGTTGCCGAGCGGTATCAATCGCCCAAAGACAGGGATCCCCCACTGTGTCTCTGAGGATGATATCTATGACGGGTACTACATTCCGAAAGGATCCTTGATCATACCTAACATCTGGTTAGTGCTCGCATTTTTCTGGATTCAACATGATACAATTGCATGCCAGGTTCATGCTCAATGACCCGCAGATATATGCTAACCCTTCACAATTCAAGCCTGAACGCTTCTTAAACAATCACGGAAAGGATCCCGAACGCGAGCCTCGCACGATCTGCTTCGGCTTTGGTAGACGGTACGCATGAAGTTAATTTGGAGTGGAATGCTAACTTTCTGCTCCACAGGATCTGCCCCGGTATGCACAAGTACCTTCAATAAAACAGTATTGTGATGTTTGCTTGCTTTTGATGTACAGGCATCCACCTCGCTGATGCTTCTGTCTGGCTATCTATTGTGATGTCGCTCGCCGTGTTTGATATTTCCAAGATCGTCGAGAACGGCGTTGAGCACACCCCTGAGGTTGACTCCTCATCAGGCGCGATCAGGTATGTCTTGTATCCCATCACGTTCGCGGTGCTAGTTTGGATACGTAGTCCCAGTCATCCCAAACCCTTCAAGTGCTCTATCAAGCCTCGCTCTGCAAAAGCTATTGCGCTCATTCAGGAGGATGTTAACTATTAAGGGCACGAATATTATCCTTGTTGTCTCAATTTGTCATGCATTCCGATATCGTACATATCTACAAATGTTTCATCTTGTTGAATCGATGCTACTCATGATCACCTGTCCACATACAATACACATCTGGCACCTTACCACCTCCTGGGGACCCAACAAGTAGCAGATCACGTACTTAGATCTCCTGTCGATGGCCAATACCTTTACGCGTGGCAATGACCCCTCTCAATGTTCTGTTATCACTGAAAACCAACGTTCCCCACAAACCATTATATACACATTATCATGTAGATAATAACCATATTCGGCTAAAATATGACAGTGCGAGATATAATAGGCATATAAGTGTTTAGAACGCTATCCCCTGTGACCATGAATCGTGTGGTGACAAATACTAGTACTGTTCGGATTGCGATGAATGGACTCTTAATGCTAGGCGCAGTTCGAGAGAGATGCTGCCCTGATTGCTTTGAATAGACTGGTGTTTTCATGTATTTTAAAGTATGTATGTATCTCAGCGCCAGCCCTCGACTCGCTTAAGTTTTGCCAAATTTTGATTTGTTAACATGTCTGTAATGCCTTGTACGGTCAGGACCGGGGGTCTTAATTAGATGTATTGAACTTGTCTCAGTAACAATCTTTACAAAAAATATCTATTTCAGTCGTGTTCACGCAACTTGAATTGGTAATCCCATCGCAACTCGCGCAATATGCTCCTTCACATCCGTGTCGGCGCCTAAGCCAACATATGTGGTGTTCGGCTGGTCCTTGACAAAGTCGGGGGGATTGATACCCGCGAGGAACGTCTCTGCTTGTTTCTTCACGTACTCGGTGTTCATGGGTGTCTGTGGCACTGCGCCGATGTACATAACTGAACAACAACGATTTGCATTAGTGTGTTCCTTAAACCAAGAAATGCAGAACATACCTGCCGAATCTTCTTGACCGGTGTGCTCTTCCTCGACGGAGTGTACAACATCCTGTGGATTGCGCTCGCATGAGAAATAACGGAATATAAGGGAATGGAAACATACGCAATGCCAGAACACCATATCTCCCGGATTGACCTTCGGCACGGATGTCATTGTCTTCTCGAGCCTGAGGTGCGGGTGCACTTCTGGTGTCGGACGCGGACCAGAGAATCCGGTTGGATGGATTAAGATACCAGGGAAATCAGGGGTTGAGATATCTTCCGATGAAGTCAGCTTGAGCTAATGCTGTTCAAATAAGTAGACATACCAAATACCCAATTTTCTGGCTTGAGGAGATCCTCCGAGTCGAGCGGGACGGTGGGACGGAAGAATGGGCGGAGAATAGTGTATGCGTTTGAGAGGACAAGATCAGGGAATACCCGGAGCGTTCCCTGTGTTGGAGCAGCCTCACTGGAATTACGACCATGTCAGGTCTGCTGTGTGAATGGGACCAAAATTTCGTGGAATACAAACCTCATTGCCAACCAACCTTGGTAAGACCTGAATATAGTCGCCTAGAATAACAAAGATTAGGTAGTTAAGAGGACAGAGGGAATACCCACTTGTCCTGGTCTACCATACAACGAGCTCCGGGCATCCAGACGACCCTCGAGTTCATATGGGTCGTGCGCGCGCCAGTTACCACTGAGAATATCAGCGAAGCATTTACGGAAGCTTTCATCCTCCCAGCGCTCAATTGCACCACCTTGCGTACGCTCAGCTATTTCGATGATTCAATTTTGTGTAGCGGAACGCACCATCGACATGAGGGGGGAAATTATTCCATCCTGGGCCAGGATGGCGAATACGGAATCGGTCGGCATACACAAGGGGGACATTAAGGTCAACACCCTCGAGTGGCTTGCCTGACTTAACATGATACTGCTTGTTGAGCCACGCGGAAGCTTTGAGAACATTTGGGTGTGCGCGGGCTTGCACTTGTGGACGCGTCCAGCTAATAGAGTGATCGGAACATCTTTCAAAATGATTGGAAAAAACATGCTTACTACAGCATGAAGAATTGCTTGTCTTGCTCAGGGAATCCTGTTTGCCGCATCAATAACGTATTGTCCGGAATATTTACTCAATACCTTGAACATGGGGATTAGCTTTGACGAAGTCATCAAGGGCAGTCTTCCAAGCTCGGGCTTCACTATCATCGACAACATCCTTGATAACGACGGTGCCTTTGCGCCGAATGATATCGACTTCCTCGACGGAGAGCTTATCAAGGTCCTCATACCGGACTTGGGGGATATACTATGCACGTGGTCAGGTTGGATAAAATCAAGGAGACAACATGGGCGCTCACATTCGGGCCAGCTTGCGCAATGTCGGCGGTACGCTTGTCGAGCTCTCCGAGGAGATCCTTCCAAGATTCTGTGAGACGCTTCTCATAGTCGGGCGTAGCCTCGACTATCTGGCGCTTCAAGTCAACAAATCGCTCTGGCCATGTAGTGCTCTGCATGTTGCTGCGGGGAATGTAGAAACCTGCAATAATGAACAACTCGAAGTGACTCGGGCTTATATACTTCCCGTGATATAGGATGTTCGTGCTTATAGAATGATCAGGTGGACCGTTTACAAAACAAAGGAGATATAAGGAGTTTCCTCGGTGAGTATTACGTACTATAATTACGCGCATCGGACTTGGAGGATGAGTAGTAAGAGGCACGGGATGACTCACAAGACACTATCGGGGTAAGAACAAGACGGCCCGGTGGACTTTATGTTGATCCGACAACAAAGCGTTGCATTTCACAAATCATGGGGCGCAGTGTATGCATCATTTATACAACATGAGACGAGTAGAACCGCAGCTCAAGGCGCCTGCCATGTGACGGAGAAGGCCGCACATTCAAACCACTGGCAGGTGAACTTTTTTTCTCAAGTCTATAGAACATTTGTTTAATAAAGATCTGATAATCTTCAAGTTAACCTTACTGTTCACTTGTCGAGGACGTAGGCAGACGCTGCAGAGAGAAAGAAGACGGAAGACCACTAGTACTAGCTATACTTAGGTTAGAACCTGATAGAACTTGAAGCTTGAAATTTCTGAAAGCCGAACTCTATGGAAAGCCAGACAACCGTGCTCAACTTTGACAACCGGACCACCGTGCTCAATAGCCTATTGAGGTAAGTGCTTCTATGGACCTCCGAACACCCTCAACGGTTGGAAAAATATATTAAATTGTGATCCCAGCACACGTTATTGTAGAGGAGGAAGCACATATTCAAGTTCGTGTCAAGAGGAATAAAAGAGCGCATTACACTTGCTACTAAGAGTCATGAGTTTCGACTGCTTCATCTAGACTGATATACTTCTCCAAACCAGCCCATTCGCAATAGTCATTGCAGATATGCTGCTCCTCGAACATTGTCACTGCGACTTCTATGTTGCCGTCACCGAAAATATCCTGCCCTCCGCTAACTGAACTGACCATCGCAATAGTAGTACATCAGTGACAGCCGGAGTGGAAAAAGCTTAAGAATATACATACGGGTCCGTCAATATTTGAGGGTCAGTTAGTAGTCTGGTGCTTCCTGATAGAGATTGATTAGTATAAGCCTGCGCTCGTCATCAGTCACATAGTAAGGACTACATACCTTGGTAGTCGGAGATAAATGCTAAACCACCAGTCTTCACATATTGAACATGTTGAGTGAACGAGAAGAATACTGCTAAATCGTAGCCATAATCAAGTTCATCGAGCAAAGGATTAGCATCCGTATTGTGAATAAACTTGAGAAATGCATCGTCGCCGCCGTCAATGAGTTCTTCCAGGAGATAGCATGCACGAATAGGGCATGTCTTCGAACCTGGCTTGGAAGCCGCTGCTGGGCCTTGAACAAACGCTAAAGCAAGGCCGGCCTCAACAAAGCGTACTCGGGGAATGGGAGATGGTGGCGGACAAGACGAAGCGAGGCAACGATCAATGAAATCATAGGTGAGTTGTAAAAGAGAACTCGCCCAGTACAGCACGTTTGCTTCTTTAAAGAGCTTCGGCAATTCGTCTGCCACAGGAAACCTACCGATCTTGAAAGGTCCCTGTGATACACCATGCAGATATACTTGGTGAAAGGGCCGTTTGACTACAATTTCGTGGCGGGAAACGGAGCCAAACCCAGAAATGGGAGGGGGAGTGAGTGTGAGCCATCCTGGGTGGGCCGTCTTGAACCCGCCCATCCCAATCATGTTGTCCTGGGATATATCGACTGTCAATTGGCCAACCCAGGATTCGGCGGCATCAAGTGTGAACGAGCGGTAATCTTCGTTTTGTAAGATCTCTGTTAACGGACGTTTAGGAATAGGGTAGAAATGGATCGTCTCGTTCTGTTTTTCGAATACTACACAAGCCATTAGTCCACCACTCGAAGCGACATGTTAACTACCACTCTTACCTTTCTTTACATTCACATTTGCTGTGCCTCCGGATCTGAGGGCCGCTTTCAGGTTATCACGGTCAGGTGAGCAGAATGTAACATCCATGGGTGCAATCTTCTTGCGTGGAGGAGACGGAGGTAAAGCTCTACTGCCACTCTCCGTTCGCACGTGAATCCGCTTAGATGCGGCCAGTACCACCTGTTCATGGCAGGGTGATGCATAACCATGGCTAACTACAGGTATTTTGGTTATGCATGGCTGTTGCTAATCCCCAGACCCATGTATTTTATGCATAATGGTGCCTGCACCTCATTGATCCTTCCCACAATATTTCCACACCTCATAGCTTCGCATTTTTGGCCACCTGCCATGGGAATTACCCCACAACACCCAAAACATTACCCAATATGTTATACCCCACAATTTCAATTATTCCCACACCCTCCCCACTTCACTGCAGCTTCACCACCACACCACAACAGGTCCCCCTTTATATACAAGTAGTTTAGTATATATGTGTACAATATAACATAATAGACTGCTTTTTTTGTTTGTTTGTGTCACTGCTCCTCCTCCAGGAGCAATTCAACATAGGGTAGGGTACAGAACACTTTCGCATTTTTGCCCCTTTGGTGGGGAAGTGTTCTATTATATTCAGAACATGTTTAGGAGTATATATGAAGATATTTCCATCTTTATTTGACCCCCTGAAGCGCCCTACATCAATAGATATAGCACATATGCAAGAAAACACAGAATATGTTCCCATTTAATTATTTCTGGGTGGACAGACTTGGAAAAATGATTCCCAGAATCTATTAAACAATAGTAACAATGTATCAGAAGCCCAGGACCATAGGACAAGACCTTGTTGTGTGGTGCATCCCCCCTCTCCTGGTGGTTCACCCCCTGTGAAAATTTTTCCTGAAGGACCGGACCTTAATTGAGGTGAGGGCTCTATTTCTATGTACACTTGGAGTAGATACATCATATAGCTGGCCCAGGACACACATAGGATCTTGCTACAGGAACAAAAACATAGAAAATCCCACTTTTGATACTTTTGATGTTTTTGAGTGCCTTACTCTTGCATAAATGACCAGTTCTGCTCATATATAATCAGTAGTACATTCCCACATATGTAAAACATCAAAAGTATCAAAAGTGGGATTTTCTATGTTTTTGTTCCTGTAGCAAGATCCTATGTGTGTCCTGGGCCAGCTATATGATGTATCTACTCCAAGTGTACATAGAAATAGAGCCCTCACCTCAATTAAGGTCCGGTCCTTCAGGAAAAATTTTCACAGGGGGTGAACCACCAGGAGAGGGGGGATGCACCACACAACAAGGTCTTGTCCTATGGTCCTGGGCTTCTGATACATTGTTACTATTGTTTAATAGATTCTGGGAATCATTTTTCCAAGTCTGTCCACCCAGAAATAATTAAATGGGAACATATTCTGTGTTTTCTTGCATATGTGCTATATCTATTGATGTAGGGCGCTTCAGGGGGTCAAATAAAGATGGAAATATCTTCATATATACTCCTAAACATGTTCTGAATATAATAGAACACTTCCCCACCAAAGGGGCAAAAATGCGAAAGTGTTCTGTACCCTACCCTATGTTGAATTGCTCCTGGAGGAGGAGCAGTGACACAAACAAACAAAAAAAGCAGTCTATTATGTTATATTGTACACATATATACTAAACTACTTGTATATAAAGGGGGACCTGTTGTGGTGTGGTGGTGAAGCTGCAGTGAAGTGGGGAGGGTGTGGGAATAATTGAAATTGTGGGGTATAACATATTGGGTAATGTTTTGGGTGTTGTGGGGTAATTCCCATGGCAGGTGGCCAAAAATGCGAAGCTATGAGGTGTGGAAATATTGTGGGAAGGATCAATGAGGTGCAGGCACCATTATGCATAAAATACATGGGTCTGGGGATTAGCAACAGCCATGCATAACCAAAATACCTGTAGTTAGCCATGGTTATGCATAAATATGACAGCATAGCCTGCCAGTACTGCCATGCGAGTCTCAGTTGCCAGCACAGATTTGGCCCGAGCTGTATCCTTGACCGCAGCGCTTTGCATTATGCGGCTGCCACTGCCCACATCCTCTATAAGTTCCTCCGCTAAGTCTTCGTCAACCACAGCACTTTGAACTATACGGGTGCTATCACCCTAAAACGACGACAGTAGTAAGCCTCAAGGAACGATAAAGAAAAACGTTAGTAAGCTTACATCCTCTACAAGCTGTTCCGCCCAGTCTTCGTCGACCACAGTACTTTGGACTATGCGAATGCTACCACCCTAAAATGATGATCATAGTCAGTCCCAAGTAACGACGAGGAAAACATTAGTAATCTCACATCTTCTGTAAGGCGTTCTGCCCAGTCTTCATATTCTAGCCACCGTGCCCGAGGTGCGACTACCATTAAGGCGAATTGCTTTGTCTTGAATATCATTACCTTTGAGTCTTTGCGACCTGCTTGCAAGCACTGCGAGAGAAAATACGGTTCTCCAGCTGGGCGCTTTGAGAGATCTACCCATTTCGCATCCCGGACAACAAACTCTTCATCACGCCAGTTAAACCCGGAGCAAAAGGCCACAATCTTTGGCAGCATGGTATCGAGAGCGATCGCTATAAGTCCGGGTGCATCAACACAAGCATCGATATCTTTCATACCCTCGCAAATATTCTAAAATGCACATCAATTAAATGCACGTCAAGTCCTATGATAAAATACATACTCCAATAGTGATGCCACGACTACCCTTCCGTCGGGTGCCGCCCTCGTGCACAGCTGAAATCTCCAGAGATATGGTCTGCGCTGGTGGCACAGGAAGTGGGAGTCTAGCCGAGATCTTGGCCCAGCGTTTGCGTTCGGATCCATAACTAGCATGGTGCTCAGAATAACCAGAGGCCGGAGTGCCCATAGTAGCCTGAGGAAATGGACCGGTGGGTCGGGCCTGAAATGGGTGCTGTGGGCGTTGCCACGTTGATGGAATGTTGACACTGGGACCTGGCATGGGGCGTGCAATGTGAGCCATAGCCACAACGGGTGGTGGATTGATCGTCGCTGAAATGATTGTCAGCACGTAAAGTAACACAAGTTTTCTTTACTCACACTTTCTCTGTGCAGCGTTCACAGACTGCCGGATGATGTGCGGATCTGGCAACTCACGGCGGGGTCTCACTGTTGTAGCTAACTTGCCCTGATATCGTCTGTGACAAGGACCACAGACATAACGTCCTGGTGTTCCTGGGTCCACAGTGGCCACGTAAAAACAGGGGTCACCCTTCAAGATCTTGGAGCCGCAGGCGGGACGTTCGCACACTCGATCGTCTTTAGCGAACGCATCTTCAGTGAATTGAGAGACGAGTTCATACCCAGACATTGTGAGATTATGAGAGGAGGTGTGAGCGGTAGCAAAACGTCAATGCCAAAGACTCAACTGACATCTCATTAAATACATGAACGCCATGAACGCCATGTAGACCTGATGAGTGGTAGCCAATGATGGCGCCTCACCCGAATATAGCAAACATCTGAGAGAGGCGTCGTGGTGAGTATCTGTACCCTGGTGGCTGATGGCGCCTCACCTGGATATAGCAAGAACCCTTGCAGCCACACTGACCAACACCACACCGATCACCGATCCAAACTTGTAGGGTAAGAGTTTTCTAGGCAACCGGTGGTTGGCTTTTCCGGAGGACCTTGGTCTTTTCCGGAGGACCTTGAGGATGTTCAACATGCTAGTAGCCCCTAGATCAAACTGAGCAACGATGATGCTGTGAGAAGTCAAGTTATTTGATCCGAGGCTACCCAAGTTCTGGCTATCCGTCATCCGTTAGTCTATGCACAGCACTGTTACTGATTTGAGAAGGAGCTAATATTTGAAGTTCCGGCTATCCGTCACTTACAGCCGCATTCCTCACTTGGGCGTTTGCGTGGTATCCTCCCTAACTCCAAGCTCAACAAAGCTCAACGGATGCAGAATGTCCAAGTCTATTGCTGGAGGGGAGATAGGGAATCCAGGAGAACCGTGTTGCTGCGGCCACGTAAATCTGCGTTCTTCATCCTCGGTTACCCTGGAACTAAAAGCCTTAAGTATTTTTGCGTTTCACCTACTACTACTCACTGGTTGACTATGCCTAACCAATACAAACCGACCCGTACGTGCTTTATCTCAGTTTCCAAGTTTCTGTTGAGAATCTACTTTACTAGCGCCTCTCGACGAGATTGCACCCCATATACTTCGCTTATGGAAGGCACGTCTGACAGATAAACAGATCGTGGACGCCTTACAGAAACATATCAACACTGAACGTTTTGGAATAGGGTAAGTACTAATCACGCCCATTACTCTGTCAGGACACTTACACGCAATATGGTGCTACTGGCTCAAGCCTCACCAAATTTGTGCAGGTTCGTATTGGAATGGGCCTTCAACGAACTCGTCAGCAAGGGCATAGCATCGAATCTATTCACGAAGCTATGCTTGAGCTACGACCAATATATCCCAATGCCGGAGCGAGGGAAATGATCAGTCTACTGTTCCATGAAAAGGGCATGTGCGTAGCCAGGTATAGTCCGATGTTTCTTTGGCTGGGTCTGCAATTTCTGACGTACATCTTCCACAGGACCGTCATACGAGCATACTTTGCTACTTACGAGCCCGAACTTGTTCGTGAGCGGAAAGCACGACGTCTGAAGAGGAAACGTTTTTGGGCTGCGGGGGTCAACGATTTATTTGCTGTAGATCAGCATGATAAATGGCTAAGATTTGGCCTCGCTCTTCATACTGGAATCGAACCTTTCTCAGGGCGCATCATGTGGATCCGTGTATGGCATTCCAATAGGAACCCACAGCTCATTCTCAGCTACTACTTGGATACAATCCAGAAGCTTGGTCGTAAGTAGTTCTATAATCATGTTCGATACTTATGCTAGCTCATCTTTCTATTTAGATATGCCTATGGTGACCCAAAGCGACCCTGGTACTGAGAACTATGGCATTGCAAATGCCCATACAATGCTACGGCAATGGCATGATTCTGCGCTGCAAGGCACACTCCAGCATCGTTGGATGCAGTCGAAAAAGAACGTAATGCCCGAGATTACATGGTCCCAGTTACGCCGCCGCTTCACTCCTGGCTTCGAATCAATACTGGACCGGGGAGTTGATGAAGGTTGGTACGATAGTAACAATACTCTACAAGTGTGAGTTACTTTTCGGAATACTGCTGATATCTCAACGTTACTAATGATTGCCACTTCAGAATGGTATTCCGTTGGGTTTTCATTCCTTGGTTGCAACGTGAACTCGATGCATACCAGGATCACATTAACAATACAGCAAAGAGGCGTGATCGCAATAAGGTATGCTAGTGTACTAGACTGCAAGCAAGAGGACACTAATTTCTGATTCTCATTGTCAGGTACTTCCACACGGTGTTCCCAGTCTCATCTATGAGTCGCCTGAAGATTTTGGGGCTCTTGACTTCAAAGTATGTCTTACTAACGTGTCCTTCAAGTTTTATACACTTTTAATAATCACACTTTTTGTAAAATTTCAGATCGCTGTAGAACAAAACGCTATCGATCATGTTCGGGCACTCTACATCAAACCTGACCACCCCATATTCGACCTTGTGCCTCCCAATCTGGGTGATCACATTCAGCTTTGCTATGAGCAGATGGGCCATCCTATCGTCGACCGTGACTCAGTGTGGCGTGTATATTGTGATTTGCTCCATATGCTTCAGCATGGCGCTGATGATCCCACTCTCCTTGTCGTCTCTGGTGACGACGATGAGGAATTAGAAGAACTTTCCCTCCTCAATAACTACCAAGACCTGCCATTTAACGAGGACGGTTACTACATGGGGGGCGTTGGTGGTGGGTTGGGGCTGAGTAAGTCTAATCCTTTCGAGCCTCCTGTTTGACTGACCTTTCGATATTAGATGCAGCACACCACCAACGGTTAGACAGCCTCATGGCGGAGGACAAGCCTGACGTCTCCAAGTCTGTTGATGGTGATGCCGTCGTCGAGCATGACGGTCTTGTTATTTGGGGTTTCTCAGATGATGACTCGGAAGATGATGCTGAGACTGATCAATGGTAACCTACTTTTTTTTTGATACTATTATCTACCTTGTACAAAGTTGTACCGTATATGACGAAGCATTATTTAATTATAACGGTGTTTGTCGCTTGTAAACAAGGTAGTCGGGGATTCTTAGAAGGGGTGTTCAAGGTCCTACAGAAGCTACCTGCCTTATATGGTGTATCGGGAGAAGTTGCATTGTCAAAGTTGAGCACGGTTGTCTGGCTTTCCATAGAACTCTGACTTATAAGCCCCACGTGATCGAAATACACCTGTTATGTTTGGTTATGTTTGCCTCAATGCTCGCCAAATTCTTTCCAGTGCACCTCTGATCAATTCTACTTTGACGTTGTCACCATCGGTCTCGACAGCGAGCTCGACATTTCTTAACTGTTTGTTTATTTTGCTTTAAAACTGATCTCATGCTTGTGAGCGAACTTTTTTGACTCGAAATTCTGTTTCATTGACCCGGATCGCGTTTCCGATCTAGTCATAACTTTGAAATCGTGTTCGATTGCTGTCATCTGGAGTAATCCAACATTCATCGATAAACCCACAAAACAGAAATTTGTTAAGGTGTCACTCTCCATAAATTCCATAACTCAATAACTCACACGGCCTGCAAGTCGCAGCATGATGGATGAAGATGACGAAGACTCTCTCTTTGGCTCTCCGCCCCCATCTTCAGTTAGAGGTAGGTCACCGGCGTCTCCTGCTCAAGCAGCCCAAGAGAGGGGCACAGGCATAACACAAAATGTGGGGGCCATTGCACTTCCTGGTTCCCATATGTCATGTTCTGAACTACCAGCCGACCTACTAGCCTTGCCGTTCGGCGGCTTTAGCACTCGCGAGCTTCCCTCGCATGCGGTGCTAGTGCAAAACACCTTACAAGCGCACCTGACGCAATCGCCTCGTGTTGCCTCATCGGTACCTTTGTCGACATCTCGCCCCTCTTCTAGGGCCATGGGAAAACGGAAAACGACAAAATCGCAAGCAGCAACGCCCCGTCCTGCACCCCCGCCTATACCGTTACCTGGCCCAAATGAACCACTACCTTTCAATTTCTTGCGAAACCAGGAAGCGTTATTAGGCATAGCTGGCCTCGTCGGAAACGTGAAACCCATCAGCCTTCCACAACAAACAGTCCGCGGGTCTACGCCTTCTAACCCTATCATTATTGAGGAATCTGATCCAACGCGCCTGCCTCATGTCGATCTTAATCAGTTCACTGCAGAAGATGCTATCACCTCCCTCATCAGACAGAAAAATATATATCCCGTGTTATCAAGCATCGTGAAACTCCTAGGCAACTCTCCAGCTGCATCCACACAACCACCATCTACTTATGATCGTGCATCTTCGCGCCCATGCAGTGAGCCAGCAACGACTGCTCCACCCCCACTGAAGCGTCGCAAACTCACAAGCGTCCCTGCTGGTGCAGTGGAGTGGGACGTGCCTTACCCATTTCCTGAAGGTGAGGGCCCTGAGGCATATCACGCTACATGGGAGCGGGAGCGTGTGAGGCATTTAATTTCGCAGCTTGTGGAGTCGATCAAGGCTGCCTCTGAGCCATCTCCGCTTGATGTCGATCAGGTACCACCATCTTCTTCGCAGTCATCCTTGCGTGCCTCTGAACCCTCCAGGCGCACATTGTCACCATCTCTTGTATCACCTACAACTACCAATACCTTTCAGCATATAATTCCCGACAGCACCATTGATCCTGCACTTCTTGCTATTTCCGTTCCACCATCAATCACATACAATGCATTTTCTCCGGTTCCAGCACTCGTTCATTCTCCAATCACATCTACTGATTCGTCTGATGGGGCTCTCACCCCACCTGCATATAATGACCAAGGTGCATTGTCTCAAGGTAGTTGGATGGCTAAATGTGCTAACCTATTTCACGCGAATGACGTAGATTCAGTGACTGCTGCCAAAATGTTGTTGCAGTTCGCTGCAAAACCTACTGTACCTCCGCCTACTCCTTCACACATAGACCTTTCACCGGCGGTACTTACGCCATACCCTCAAACTGCTCCATCTCATTTCTCGTCATTGGCACAGCCAGTCTCCCCTCAAATACCTCGCGCGCTGTCGGTCCAATCCACGCATAAATCGACTCCTGTCGTTCCTCGGGGCGCCGGCTTCAAGGCGGTTCATAAAGAAGACATCCTCCAGCGCGCAAGGGAACGTCGCCGACAGATTGTTGGAGAGATAGAGCGGGCAAAAGTGGAGTTATGGGAGACGAGTATTGAGGGAGGGGTGTTGGGACATCTGATGAAGGATCCAACGCTGTCTTAATACAGTTTACTTACGAGATTCAGTGTGTATCGCATGCAGTAGTAGCTCAATCCGTTCCTCGAGCCATGTATTCATGCTATATAACTCCCGCTACGCGCCGCTCCTGAATTTGCATTGAATTGAAGACAGGCAGCTTTTGTGCCACGTGATCCCAACGCGTCGCGTTCGAACTTCGGGGACGTAAACATACCTCAACAAAGGTTCTGCAGGACGCGCTGTCTGGGGTGCACACGACTATCGCCACCATAAAATCGCAATGGCGCCCGCTCGCAATGCCCAGCTTGATCAAGAAAAAGAAGAATATCGTGCTAGCATCGCCGAGGCCCTCCAGGAAGACGAAGATCCGCTTGCTGCCTATGACGACTTTGCCAAATGGACCGCACAGCAGTATCCTGCAGATGACATGACATCTGGTCTCGTCGAGCTACTTGAAGAGATTACCAGACGTTTCAAAGATGATCTGAGGTATAAGGGCGATCTCAGATATCTGAAACTCTGGTCGGCATATGCGAAGCAAGTCGAGAGACCGACCATTATTTACTCATATCTCGTAAAGCATGACATTGGGTGTGTATATGCACTACTTTACGAGGAATATGCGGGAGCACTGGAAAGGGAGGGAAGGTGAGTACCTTGTATACCTGAAGGCTAAGCGCGGGTTAGGTGAACCATTTATCTGCATGATCCAGACACACCGAGGCCGACAAGGTTTTCCGTATCGGGATTACGCGTAATGCTCGTCCAATCGAGAGGCTGAAGAAACGTTATCGCGATTTCCAAGGCAGCCCTTCATCGTCTAAACCCACACCCATCACCTTCCGACCGAGTGGGTCCCAAGAAATCGATGCCCTCCGTCGTAATCCCCTCAAGAACCACAATCCACCACCTGCTTCGTCCTCAAGTACTTCGAACAAATCATCATCCTCTAAATCTAGTACTCCACAAGCCTCCGCGTCGAGCCCTAGAGCTCATAGCCGCTATGCTCCAATGCTCGCTCCTCCTGTCCCAGGGAGGCGCCCAGAGAAACTGCGCTTCAATCTCTCACTGCTTTTCACTGGAGATGGTGTTGAATACAGTGCCGCTGAGGTGCGCGCCCGCTCCATGGGACTTCTCAACAAGAAATGGGGTTCGCCCCCACCTTCAGAGGCACGCGAGACTGTTCGAGTGAATTTTAACGATGACGGCACACGGAGCACGCAGAATATGGGGTACGGGAAGCGCAAGAGTATTGTGACTTTAGGAGAGCCAACTGTCACGATCAATACGAAAGAGGCGCTGGCAGATGTATTTGGAATGTATAACTCCCCGGATAAGACTGTAAAACGGATGATGCCTGGGAGTAAGCATGCGCCTGTGAAGAGGATTGAACCCATGACAGCTGCAACAAGACAGCCACCGTCTGTTGTCCAAGTGGAGGATGAGAATGCTAAGACACCGGGTAAGCAGAAATTCACTTTGTCTTTGGGGCTCATTTATATTATGTCTGAAAGGTGCATTCAAACCCTTCATCGATGAGAACGCGAACCGCAAGGAGAATAGCACCCCTGCGGTAAAGGTGCTAAAAATAAACACTGCTTTCCTTCATTCAATGCTAAATCAGCCGGTAGTTCAAACCCTTCGTGGACGAACCCCCAAAACAATCGTTTGCTACTCCTGACATCGGTCGGCGAGCTCTCACAACGAAGGACAGCACTCCTGCTACCTCTTTTAAACCTCCCGCCACCCTCAAAGCCATCTCAGAAGAAAATTTTGGGCGAGAAAATGATAATGTCAACGTCAAAGCCAGCGTATTCTCGCGCGTCTTCACTCCCGTATCTCAGAAAGAACCTCTCACCCGACCTAACTCACAGGGGGCGAAGGCTAGCCCTCTAAACGAGAACCCGAGTATCTTTCAGGTTCCTGGTTCTAAACAGGAGGCAGCACCATTCGTTGCATTCGTCGACTCCAAAACGCCTTTCAAGGTCTTCAGTCGTCCGCCATCATCGCACGATGGTAGTGAGAACGCAGGACACGTTTTTACCCCGAAGCCGAGCACGTTCAAGGCGTTTATGGATACCGGTACCATTGCCATGTCTGAGAACCAGGTGGAACATGAAGCTCCTCGAGCACCAAGGACGCCGGCGTCCGAGACCTATACCGATGAATCCAGTGATCCCGCAGACGATCCTCAGCAGAACTTTTCCTCGAGTGACGAACCTTTCGAGGATGGCTATATCGAGGGAGAACCTGATGTACCCTTCTCCTCATCTTCAAGCATCAGCGATCAGTTCGAAGAAGAATACGAGGAGCAACCGCAGCCTCTTGGAGGTCGCTTCGGCAGGATAAACGTGATGACGCCCATCACAGAACGTACCTTTGAGTTTAGCACTCGCGGATTCCCCACGCCGCATGGGAATGGTGCAGTCGAGACTGCAGAACAACTTGCTGCGGAGCTGAGAGAGGAAGACGAACGTGAACGAGGATATGTGCACGATGGGGAGGAGTCGGACTCATCATTCGCTTCTTATGACCGACCAGGGTTGGTCCCGCAATACCAGCCGGCAGAATTAGAAGTGATCGAAGAGCGCACAGGGACTCTTAGTCTCTCAGATGCTCTGGCAGTAGTGTCTGCCTTCAGACCGTCGAACCCCTGCAATCCTTTCGACCCTTCAATTATGTCCACACTACTTTCCCTCTTACCTGGAGACGAAGATTTTCACGACCTGCGAGGGCAGGACTCGGGCATGCTCGAGGGTTTACAAAAGTTCGCAGCCAAGAAGAGCAGGCGAGGGAGTGGTTCGAGTTCCAAAGGGTTCGATGACGATGCGTTCATGGTCACCCTGGAAGGAAAGAGACTGAAGGTGGTGGATAAACTAGGCGAAGGCGGCTTTGGAGCAGTATTTACAGCTCGAGATATTTCATCCAAGAATGAAGATGATGAAGACGAAGACGAAGACGAAGACTTGGATGAAGACGATGAGGAGGACGGTTCTTCGATGCTTGCTCTGAAAGTCGTGAAGCCTCGAAACCTATGGGAATTCCACGTCCTGCGCAGAATCCACCGCACGCTCCCTGAACCACTCCGCCATTCCCTCGTCCTACCCTATGCTCTCTACGCGTATCGCGACGAAAGTCACCTCCTTATGCAGCTATGCCCACAAGGCACCCTGCTCGATATCGTCAACCGTGCTGGCACTACTGGCATCTCGCAGCAAGGGGCGTGTCTTGATGAACTGCTCGTCATGTTTTTCACGATTGAGATCATGCGCTTCCTCGAAGGAATGCACAACGCAGGGTTCATCCATGGTGATCTCAAGATTGATAACTGCCTCCTACGCCTCGAAGACGTTACAGGTGGCGCTTCCCTCTCCAGTATATACCAGCCCTCGGGTGAAGGCGGTTGGAAATGCAAGGGCGTCAGGGTCATTGATTTCGGGCGGACGCTCGACACGTCCCTCTTTCCTCACAACCAGCAGTTCGTTGGTGACTGGGCGGCAGACGCACGAGACTGTTTTGAGCTAAGGGAACACCGACCCTGGACATATCAAACCGACTACTTTGGTCTCGCTGGCATCATCTACTGCATGCTGTTCGGCAAATACATCGAAACATCATCCATCACCCCCCACTCCCCTTACAAGGTCACGACGCCGTTCAAACGCTACTGGCAGAATGACTTATGGATGAGGTTATTCGATCTCTTACTCAATCCTTGCCTCGTGCGTTCGGACGGCAAGTTGCCCCTGTGCGAAGAGCTTAGTGATATAAGACATGAAATGGAGGGTTGGCTGCAGCACCACTGCAACCGGAGTAGTAACACGCTCAAGGGACTACTAAAAAAGATCGAGCTTTCAGTGTACACTAAATAAATAACACCTCACTTCACCCATGTTTAGCTGTTTTCTCACATGCATACCTAGCAAATATCTCCCTCGGGTACTCAGTTTTCGGTCCACGCCATCAATTAATGCCAGAGATTGATAGCTACAACATGCGCCCAGAAGACATCTGGACTATGAAACACAACAACAATGACATAACTGCGTGAAGACAGCGGACAACAGATAACGAGGAGAAAAGATGCGGATACCATGCTACCTGTCGCTCAATCATGCATGGCCCACACCACCCATCTGTGGAGGAGCCGGGCCAGCTTCATATGGGTGAGGAGGACCATTCGGCCCTGCAGGCGGCATCATCATAGGGTAAGGGACAGCGTGTTGTACTGCAAGAATGAAAGGAACATTCGTCAATCACAGCAAATTTAAAATTGGATCAACACGCACGTTGTGGGCTTTGGTGGTAGTATGCGTGCGCGTGAGAGGGGATGGGAGTAGGTGGCATGGATGGGCGTGGACCAGCACCGTTGGGTGGGGGAGGGTACGTGCCAGGTGGTGGTTGCATGTATTGTGGTGCTACGACAGAAAGGTCAGCCGAAAGTCAGAGAAATCAAAATGGGTACGCACGAGGCATCTGAGGCATAGGCGATGCGGCATACATGGCTGTGGGATATCATGAGCTGCAGTCTAAGCAAATTTGGAACCTAGACTCACGTTGGCCGTTCGGTGGAATCCCCGGTGGGTACACCATTGGTTGCATGAATGGCGTTGACACATATGCACCAGGTGGTGGTGGAGCCATGCCAGGCATCATGGGCTGAGCGAAATTTGAGAAATATTCCACACGGGAAATAGGGACATGCACACCTGTCCAGGGTAGTATGGGTAGTAGTAAACACGTTGTTCGCCGCCGTCTTCGTATACAGGGTGTGAGACGGGCGGCGGACCGGGTGGCGCAATGTGGACGGGTTGCTGAGGCGATTGGTGTTGCAGGGGAGGGAACATATGCATGTAACGCTTGCCACTGTAAGGCCAGATAGCAGCTGCAGCGGAGAGCCATCAGATTGTATCCTCAGCAAGAGGGTGCAGCACGCACTGATTTGGTTCGCCTCCACGACTTTGTTATGCTTGAATGGGTTGAAATCATCCTTGATATGAACCGCTCCTTTCTTCATGATCTTGGCGCCAAAGAATGGATTGGGTGTAGGAGGTGACTAAGGGAGCTGAGTTAATTCACAATCGACATTCATAATTCAGATGCTTGATTCACCGATTCAGCAGGCTTAG